TAAGATCAACCAGTTTGACCTTTGTTTTCCCAAAGGCAATGTACTGTACTACCAGATTTTGTCCTTTGAAGTAATTGCTTACTTGACACTGAAGAAATTGTGTATAAGTATTTTCACAGAAATCTTCATTCTTCCTTTCTCTTCAGCTATGTTTTTAAATGTTATTATGTGATGTCTAGCCCTGAGTTGCAATTTTGCGTGCAATTTTGCATGTTCAATATTTCTGATTTCATGATTGTGTAGATTCTGTCATTAAATGTGTTTGAAAAACACACTGATAGAGGCAGAAAGAAAGTTTTGTTTGTTTGTTTTTGTTCATAGGAACTTCAGCTTAAGATGGAACAGCAACAGAAGATTCTTAAACTTAAAGACAGCGAGATTGCTGCATTTAAAAAGAAGAAAAATAACTCGGTGGGAACTTTACAGAAATCAGAGGTAGGTAATCTATTCCAAATCTGTGTGGACACTGAAAAGAAAGGTGTCTTTATTCACCCCGTGTCATCTTTGTAAAGCGTTTGGAAGAAGAGTATTCCGTCCTCCCTCCCCTGTTTTTTTTTTTAAATTGTTATTTTTTTGTTGTAGCAAAACCTGAGACAAGTCAAGAAGCTCTTTAACTGGTTTTGAATGAACGAAAGGAGAGGGCTGTAATGTCTTTGTTTTTTCTATGACTTGTCAAAGGTAGTAATTCAGATAGCTGGAAATTCAACAAGTTTGGTTGTCTGGTAGGTTTGAAGGTGATTCTGATGAGCTCTGTTATAAATGTTGCACGGTTTGTTTGTTTGTTTCTTTTCCCATCTGACAAATATGACAGACGGCTATGGTTTTGGTTGTTCATGACAGTGTTAGAATAGTAGGTTTCCTGTGCAACAGTGCTATCTGCATGATTTCAGAACTAGACATTGGAACATGAGAGTTTCATGAGTTAACCAAAGTCTTTAGAGGTGAAAATAAATTTAAAAAATGAAATAAAAGCAACTTTTTAGCCATACCAGCAATATGCCCACTGATAAACCATTGCTTCAGAAGAGACTTAGAATAGACTCTGATAGCAGGATCAGAACTCCCATTTTTTCTTTCTTTCAGCATCACAGTTTCTCATCACAATGTGTTTTTCCACCAATCTTGGTCTTGGGCAAGAATCATGCAATGAGGATGGGCTAGCTGATTTCCTGTGGTACCTTTCCAACTTAGTTGTTGTCATTCTATATATGACATCTATTTATATAACTGTTTGTAGGAAAATAATACATTTCCTTAAAAGCATCTGATAAAATTGTTTGCATAAGATGTAGTAATATAACATTGCTGAGCCTCTCCTTAAGTCAGTCCTATTTCTGTAGTATCCTGAATCAGGATTCTGTTGAACAATTAATGTTAAGAATTGAAATGTTGATTTCTCACGTTTTATCAGTTACTCTAAAAGAGGAAAAACATAGTCATGCTCTCTGGATCTCTGTTTAAATTGTAGAAATTAGAAGAGCAAAAGAAATGGCTGGATGAAGAAATGGAAAGAATTCTTCAACAGCACCAACAGTTAGCGGAACTAGAAGAAGATTTAAAGAAAAGAGAAGCCATTGTAGCTAAAAAAGAAGCATTATTGCAAGAGAAAAGCCACGTAGAAATCAAGAAACTGAGATCTAGCCAGGTGATTTAAGAAAAATAAAAAAGAAAGCAAGCAAGAAAGCAAGCAAGAAAGCAAGCAAGAAAGAAAGAAAGAGAGAAAAAGAAAGAAAGAAAAAGAAAGAAAGAAAGAAAGAAAGAAAGAGAGAAACAAAGAAAGAAAGAAAGAAAGAAAGAAAGAAGGAAAGAAAGAAAGAAAGAAGGAAGGAAAGAAAGAAAGAAAGAAAGAAGGAAGGAAGGAAGGAAGGAAGGAAGGAAGGAAAGAAACTTAACACAATTGTAGAGCTGCCTGAAAAGACTATGGGAGGAGGGCAGACGGATAACAGAAGAGGTTTAAGCCATGCAACTTGTATTTGTAGCGCTGCCATTACATTATTGTGTGGCTTGATCAAATCAACATTTTAAACATGAATAATAGAATGTAATAACCTTTATTTACATGATATCCTCGAAATTCTAACAACAAAACAAAATCTGACTTCCAAAGTTCTGTTATTGCAGCACATTAAATAACGATATCTAAAAAATTGCTCAATGCCTGCAAACTAGAGAACGTGGCAGAGAAACATTCTGTATTATTTACTTTGGCTACTGAGAAACAGAAATTGAAATGTCATTGTCACCGTAATGACTAACTCATGTAAGATATGTAGAAAACTGCACATTGCTTTTCTTTGTTTTCTTTCATCTTTTGATTAAATAGTAAATTTTATGGTAGCTATCTACTTAGCCTAAATGGCGTCCCTTTACAAGAAGTGGACAGGTCTTCCACTTTAGGATGCGACAGTCTCATGTACATGTTTATGGGGAAGGAGTTTTATACTTACGGTTTCTTTCATTCTTCCTCTTATTTCTTTCTCTCTCTCTCTCTTTTTTTTTTTTTTAAGGCTTTAAACAAAGATAGTATGAAATTGTCTACCGCTTAAGTATGCTGGACCAGGAATTGTGTGATAAAGGTATGCAGCTTCAGGACAGCACTACTGAAGATAAGACAGACATTCTGGAAAAAATTCAGGTTCTTCAGAAGGAAAGGGATCAGCTACTCAGAAGAAGAAATAATGTGGATGAGAAACTGAAAGAAGGTAACTGAAAAGTGTTGTCAGCTGAAGTAAGTAACTATCTCTGAGATACATCAAAGTTTTAGGCAATGTTTAGGCAATGACACCAGGAGGGGTCATCTTGAATTACCTTACGTAATCACCTTAGACTAATCACCTTATTACCTTAGTCTTTCCCCAAATGTTTTCGTGCTCAGTCTCAATTCCTCCTGCCTCATTTACACACATAGAGCAACTAAGATTGATTCAAGTGCATCCTTCCCCTTGGGAGGCAAATAAAAGGTCTAGTGCCTAAAACATTCTTCTTGATTTGTTCTAGTTGCTTGCACCAAACTGTAAGATGTTGTTGCAAATACTGGTTTCCTAAATGTGTTAGCTCTTCTCCTTTGTCCGGCATTTGGTAAGGCCTGCCATCCAATATCTCCAAAGGGGCTTAGTTTGACCAAGTTTACCTAAATTATGTTACTTTGGTGAAAAGCGCGTGTTTTCACCACAATGATATCACAACAACTCAGACTTTGGTGAAAAGAAGTTGCGATTTCTTTATGCGTCTCTCATGTACATGGGAAACCAGTCTTCATGACAAAAGTTTTGGAATCACAGAATCACACAGAATCACAGAATTTCTAGGTTGGAAGAGACCTCAAGATCATCGAGTCCAACCTCTAACCTAACACTAACAGTCCCCACTAAACCATATCCCTAAGCTCTACATCTAAACGTCTTTTGAAGACTTCCAGGGATGGTGACTCCACCACCTCCCTGGGCAGCCCGTTCCAGTGCCTCACAACCCTTTCAGTAAAGAAATTCTTCCTAACATCTAACCTAAAACTCCCCTGGCGTAACTTTAGCCCATTCCCCCTCGTCCTGTCACCAGGCACGTGGGAGAACAGGCCAACCCCCACCTCTCTACAGCCTCCTTTAATGTACTTATACAGAGCAATAAGGTCACCCCTGAGCCTCCTCTTCTCTAGGCTGAACAAGCCCAGCTCTTTCAGCCGCTCCTCATAGGACTTGCTCTCCAGGCCCCTCACCAGCTTCGTCGCCCTTCTTTGGACCCGCTCAAGCACCTCGATGTCCTTCTTGTAGCGAGGGGCCCAAAACTGAACACAGTACTCGAGGTGCGGCCTCACCAGAGCCGAGTACAGGGGGACGATCACCTCCCTAGCCCTGCTGGTCACAGTGTTTCTGATACAAGCCAGGATGCCGTTGGCCTTCTTGGCCACCTGAGCACACTGCTGGCTCATATTCAGCCGACTGTCCACCATCACTCCCAGGTCCTTCTCTGCCTGGCAGCTCTCCAACCATTCCTCTCCCAGCCTGTAGTTCTGCTTGGGGTTATTGCGCCCCAGGTGCAGGACCCGGCACTTGGCCTTGTTGAACTTCATACAGTTGACCTCAGCCCATCGGTGCAGCCTATCCAGATCCTCCTGCAGAGCCTTCCTACCCTCGAGCAGATCGACACACGCACCTAGCTTGGTGTCATCTGCAAACTTACTGAGGGTGCACTCAATGCCATCATCCAGATCATTGATGAAGATGTTAAAGAGGACCGGCCCCAGCACCGAGCCCTGGGGGACGCCACTAGTGACTGGCCTCCAACTGGACTTGGCTCCATTCACCACAACTCTTTGGGCCCGGCTATCCAGCCAGTTTCTAACCCAACGAAGCGTGCGCCAGTCCAAGCCAAGAGCAGCCAGTTTCTTGAGGAGAATGCTGTGGGAGACGGTGTCAAAAGCCTTGCTGAAGTCAAGGTAGACCACATCCACAGCCTTTCCCTCATCCACCCAGCGCGTCACTTTGTCGTAGAAGGAGATCAGGTTCGTCAAGCAGGACCTGCCTTCCATAAACCCATGCTGGCTGGGCCCGATCGCCTGCTTGCCCTTCAAGTGCCGCATGATGACTCCCAAGAGGATCGCTGCCCTGGAATCCATTATTATTGTTATTATTATTGTAATTATTAAATAATTATTAAATGATGATTATTTATTAATTATGTTATTAATTAATATTAATATTAATAATAATAATAACAAAAACATCATCATCATTATAAAACATGTGGATGTGGCCTGGAGGAAGCTGCGGCCCATGGAGAGCCCCCACAGGAGCAGGCCCTGGGCTGAAGCTGCAGCCCATAGAGAGGAGCCCACGCAAGAGTACTGCATGGTAGTACTGCTGCACAAACCTGTGCACCCTCTAGGCACTAGCAGCATGGAGATGGGGACACCCTGCCCCAGGGTCTGACCGCAGCAGCTGCACACGCAGCCCACAGACACCCATGCACGCAGAACAGAACAGAAGAGACAGCCCTCATCTATGAAATAGTCCTGAACAATTTTATTCAGAAGCCCCGTCCTCGGGACCGAAGCTGCCATCTGTGGGGAGCTCCCTGGTACTGTCAGCCTCACGTTGCTCTAGGTCTTCTGTGATGCAGCTGAAGCAGTAACTCCTGCGGAGAGCCCGAAGTGCTCTCCTGAAGAGGGGGGGCAATTGCGAGCGAGCCACAGCGTGCGGGAGGGCAGCGGTGCCTGTGGGGGTCAGAGAGCTGTACGTGAGGGGCTGGGATGGAACTGGGCATGGTCCTGCCTGCCCCCGCCACCAAGGCTTTCCCTTGGGGAGGGGACAGTTGGACATGGAGGGACCCTGTGCGTGGAGTGCTGCCAGCCTCCGTGCCGTGGGCTGGGATGGCTCCATACTTTAGGACATACCTGGCCCTTCCTCTGGCACCGATTGGAAGTGTGAGGAACACTGTGCACTGCTTCTATGCTCGGAGGAAACCTGCATGGGGAGAGAAAACCACAGCCCTGTGGGCCACTGTTTGGCCATGCTCCGGGCCCCGATGCCCCCGATGCCAGATGGATAAGGGATGAGGGGCCTCGAGGCCCACCGACAGGGGTCTGTGGCTTCCATGACTGTGGGACGAGGAAGGTATACCTTGCTTACCTCTTGCAGAAGGCCCCCAGCCAGGGGAGAAGGTGCTGCTTCTTCTTCCTCACATGCTGATGGGGTGAGAGGTGCTGTCCTGGCCTCCAACACAGGGTGCGCAGCCAGGGGAGAGGCTGAAGCTTTTCCCTCTTTGGGCATGCAGGCAGGGGGGAGCTCCTCGGGCCCAGGAACTGCGGCCATAGGAGCAGCTGAAGGCCTGGCATCTGCCTCACCAGATGGGGCAGGAGACGTGCCGGGCAGGACGTCGTCTGCTTCTGCCACAGCTTCTATCCTGGGGCTCTCTTCCCACTCTTCCTGAATGTCCTGCAGAATGGTCTTACTCGTTGTGGAGCAAAAGTAGGGAAGGCGCTGGCCCGCAGTCCTCACTGCCACCTCCTGCCTGCCCGATGCACTGGCTGCAGTGCTGTCAGCTGTGTCACCGTCGTCTGCTGCCCAGATCCTTCGCAACCTCGGAACCTTCACGCTGCTCGGCCAGGACTCGTTCCACCGGGACAACTGGCAGCCTTCCCTCTCCCCGCTCGGAATGATCTGCATTGCTGGCCGAAAGGAGGAGCACCCATAGATATCCCAGTTGATCTTGACCCGGTCTTTCAATGTCGGCGGTCTTTTCTGGCTGCTTGTGGAAGGGCCGGGCATAGCAGCAGCCAGGGGAGAGGCTGAAGCTTTTCCCTCTTTGGGCATGCAGGCCGGGGGGAGCTCCTCGGGCCCAGGAACTGCGGCCATAGGAGCAGCTGAAGGCCTGGCATCTGCCTCACCAGATGGGGCAGGAGACGTGCTGGGCAGGACGTCGTCTGCTTCTGCCACAGCTTCTATCCTGGGGCTCTCTTCCCACTCTTCCTGAATGTCCTGCAGAATGGTCTTACTCGTTGTGGAGCAAAAGTAGGGAAGGCGCTGGCCCGCAGTCCTCACTGCCACCTCCTGCCTGCCCGATGCACTGGCTGCAGTGCTGTCAGCTGTGTCACCGTCGTCTGCTGCCCAGATCCTTCGCAACCTCGGAACCTTCACGCTGCTCGGCAGGACTCGTTCCACCGGGACAACTGGCAGCCTTCCCTCTCCCCGCTCGGAATGATCTGCATTGCTGGCCGAAAGGAGGAGCACCCATAGATATCCCAGTTGATCTTGACCCGGTCTTTCAATGTCGGCGGTCTTTTCTGGCTGCTTGTGGAAGGGCCGGGCATAGCAGCAGCCAGGGGGCCCAGGAACTGCGGCCATAGGAGCAGCTGAAGGCCTGGCATCTGCCTCACCAGATGGGGCAGGAGACGTGCTGGGCAGGACGTCGTCTGCTTCTGCCACAGCTTCTATCCTGGGGCTCTCTTCCCACTCTTCCTGAATGTCCTGCAGAATGGTCTTACTCGTTGTGGAGCAAAAGTAGGGAAGGCGCTGGCCCGCAGTCCTCACTGCCACCTCCTGCCTGCCCGATGCACTGGCTGCAGTGCTGTCAGCTGTGTCACCGTCGTCTGCTGCCCAGATCCTTCGCAACCTCGGAACCTTCACGCTGCTCGGCCAGGACTCGTTCCACCGGGACAACTGGCAGCCTTCCCTCTCCCCGCTCGGAATGATCTGCATTGCTGGCCGAAAGGAGGAGCACCCATAGATATCCCAGTTGATCTTGACCCGGTCTTTCAATGTCGGCGGTCTTTTCTGGCTGCTTGTGGAAGGGCCGGGCATAGCAGCAGCCAGGGGAGAAGGCGATTTAGCATCTCTGGGTGCTGATGCACCCATAGGATTCTTGTCCCCCTCACTGGCAGGACCTGCAACCTGCGCAGAATCTGCTGGCTCAGCATTGGTTGGCCCTGACATGGCAAGAGATGCGCTCTGTGCGGGGCTGACTGCCTCTCTGGCAGAATCTCTGCCAGTGCTGTGGGGTGAGCCAGGCCCCTGCTGGTGGGCTGCGTCTGGGTCCCAGTGAAGGTTCCAGGTGGCTTCCTTCTGCTGCCTCCCTCCTGGCTTGGAGATCCCAGCAGCAGCTCTTGTGTCCTCTCGAGCATGGCCATCTTTTCGTCTCCGTGTTGCTGGCATCTTTTCAGTCTTGGTGGCCGGCACCTGGGCTGTCCTTGCGGGTGTTGCCACACTGCTGGGAGGGGCGTAGTGCCTTTGTACCCTCAGCTGCACCCTGGGTCTTTGGCTCCTGGCTGCAGCATGGCTTGGGGTTGGCCTGTTGTCTTGCTGGGGTCTGGCCTGCAGAGGCGCCAGAATGGATGCGGGGGCTTGCAGGGCTGTCCCCCGGCTCTCGGCAGTTGCTGCCATTTGCTCTTTTCTCACGTGTCCTTGAGGACGTGGGACGACCTCGGGGAGTCTGACAGCCTTGGTGCTCGTGATGCAGTCTCTGCATGGCACAGAAGAGGTGGAGCCTGCTACTGACAGACTGGGCAGCCGGGGGATAGTTGAAGCTCCCACTGAATGCCGATGTGTAGTTCTCAGTGTCGCTGCCTGCCTTGGCAGAGGCGGCAAGGCTGGTAGAGGATCTCTCCGTTCACCGGTGGCACTGCTGCCGGGCAGTGCCTGCCTCAGCTTCAGGCTGTCTGTCTGCAAGGGAAGCCAAGGAGAAAGGTGATGTTACCGTAGTCCTTTCCCACCTGCCCACCTCCAGCACCTGCCCACCTGCCCCCTCCAGCACGTGCCGCCTCCTTGTCAGCAGCTCCCAGGGCTTGGGAAGGCATCTGGCCCCATCTCACTTGGGCTCCCTACCTGTGTGCTCTTCTTCCTAGAGGCCTGTGACTTCTGTGGGCAGTGGAGCTGTGGCAGCCTCACCCCGTGGATGGACAAGGATGGAGTCTGGCTGCACAGCGGTCCTGCCTGTGGCGGTTTGGGTTGCACCTGTGGGGAGAAGGAGGTGTGGGATGGTGGTGGCTGCGCTGCCACCAGCATCCCTTGTGGTGCCTGGACACCCAGCCCCACCTCAGTGCCACATCCTTCGGACAGAGTGCTGCCCGACCCACGCGAGTCACAGCCATCCCAGGCCTCAGCTCTGCCCCAGAGAAACCCCTGGGGCACGAGAACCTGGGCCTGGACCGCAGACACTCAGGGCCAGGCCTCGCGCCCCGGTACCATGCTCCGCCACCTGGCACTCTCTCTCCTGTGTCTGCCCTCTCCCTCCCTCCCTGTCCCGCACCTGGTGGTGCTTCTTCATGCTCGGCAGCCCTTTGTTGGGCTGGGAGCAGGCCTTCGCCTCTTGCTCCTTCGGCATCCCTTTGTCCTCTCACAGAGACAAAGAAACAGGCACCCAGGGCAGCTGCTGCCTCCTGACGGCGCTGCACTCCTGGGAGTGAGCACCACGGGGGCTCGGGCCATATAAGTCACACCGTCACCATGGGGACGCTTGCCGTGTCACAATGGTCTTGTGGCCTGACGCCGCCCCACGTCACAAAGCCTGAGTGCTTGCTGTGGAGCCTCCTTGTTCCCGGCAGCCTCCCGTCAAGACACCAGCTCACAGCAAGGTGGGGGTCAGGAGACACCTCTGGGCTGCTCTAGTCCAGGCCCGCTCTGTCATCGTGGCAGCCCTCTGCCGGACATTTCTCCAGAGGCGCTGTCATCATCCCGCACAGGCTCACTCTTGCCTGCAGTGGGGCTGTTGGAAGTGCCTGGAACTACACTGTGCCTGGCACGGGGCAGCCCTTCTTGTGTTAGATCTTTTCCTTTGTCCGGCATTTGGTAAGGCCTGCCATCCAATATCTCCAAAGGGGCTTAGTTTGACCAAGTTTGCTCCTGGGGGATGGATGGAGCCCGTGGTAGGGAGCCGTGTGCGAGCAGTGCTTGAGGAGCTGCTGCCTTTGGCAGCCCCTGCAGGCTCAGTTCGGGAGTCCCGTGTGAGGGATGAAGTTCTGTGTTTTTTGTTTTGTTTTGTTTTGTTTTTGTGAAGAAAGCGGGTGTTGAAGAAGGAAATGCAGAGTTGCCTTTGTTTGTCACTCGATGGTCTTGAGGTCTCTTCCAACGTAGACATTCTGTGATTCTGTGAAGTCACAAACGCCAAGGCGTCACACTGGCTGGCTCTGCAGCACAGATGCCAGGAGTGCCGCTTGGCATGGCGGCGGCGGCGCGGTGCCCCAGCCCCAGGCCCGTCCCAGCCCCAGCGCACGTCGCCCTCCGCTCCCCCATGGAGCCCCCCGCCGCCTCAGCAGCCCCGCGGCGGACGCCCCATGGCGGAGCCGCCCCCGAGGAGAAGGAGCCCGCAGCCCTCTGCCCGCACCGCACCGCACCAAGCGCCGCGCAACGGCTGCCACCGCCGCGGGGGCTCCTGGTGTGAGCGCCAAGCGGTGGCAAGGGGGGGCTGCGCTTCCTGCGTCGAGCTGCTGGACACCGGCTTGCCTGGGCAATTGCCCATGTTGCTGAGGAGGCAACAGAGCCAAAGCCCTTGGGGCTGAAGATCCAGCACGGCTGGGGAGGCTTTGGCGTTTCTGCACAATGCTGCTCAATCCTGCTTGGGAGCCCAGCCTCAGGTGCGGAATGAAGCCAAGCAAGCTCGAGGGAAACTGTGTGCTGGTAACTGGTCAGTTCTTGCTTTCTTTTTCATTCCTCACGCCTAAGAAAACCTAACTCTTTCAAGCACTTGTTGGATGGACTTGATTCTGGGTGTGCTCCTTAAGCTTGTTTGGCAGCTGTTGAACCCCGCTACACTTGCAGGAGACCTATGCTCGAGTTGATGCTTGCTGTGATCAAGCGCTGTTCTTTTGCTCTTCTTTGCTTTGGGGATGGCGGGTGAGGTTGCAAAGAGTTTTCAGGAGGATTCCTCTTTTCCTTTGCAGAATGCCAGACTGCGTATTAGAGCTGATCTTCATCTCTGCTCGGAAAAGCTTCACGGGCCAAAAGAGAATGGAGATGAGGAAGGCAATGGAGAATGATGAGGACTATTTGCAGTCAGCACCCGTAAGCTTTGTGAAAGAATCAGGTGCATTTCTGTAGTGGTAGAAAGCGTAGCTGGAAAGACTTCCTAAGGACGTCAAGTCCAATTCCTTGTTCTCAGTTAGAGCAATCCCGTAGTTTAGACTCCTGATAAGGTATTTGTCTGTAGGCAGCTGCCAACTTGTCCAGCTAATCCAATTCAGCCTGGAAAACAAGCAAGCAAGCAAGCAAGCAAAAAGCACAGAAACCTGCAGTTTATGGAGTGCAACTGTCTCCTTTCCAATCGCATGGGTTTCACCAAGTTTGGGGTGACTCCAGGGCTGGCTTGCCAGGGAGACTTTCTTGAATTGCTGGCAGATCAGCCAGAAGGGCAATACAAGGCCCTGGCTAAACACAATCTGTAGGCTGCTTCTAGATCAACAGTTTCCTTGGTTACTCCACAACCTCCACAATCTCCACTTGCTTCGAAGCTCTGAAGATTGCAAGTCCACTTTGTGTTTTTCAGCCCCTCTGTGTCAAACGGTAAGAGTTTTCCCTGGCTGTTAAAACAGAAAGGACAACAGCCCCTCCTCTGGGTCTTCAGAAGGCTCCTAAGATCCCCCAGACTGGCTAAGTAGCGACGCTCTAGTATAGCTGCATCTAGATGCAGTAGAGCTAGATGGTGGGAGAGATGGTATGCTAGATGGTGCTCTAGCATGGACGTGACACGCTTTGACAGCATCTTTTCTCTGACAGCAACTTCTGCCTTGGCTCTTCCCATCAAGCCAGAGCAGTTTCTTGGCCTGCGCAACCTGCAGACTGACCTCTCGTGTGTATCCGTGCTGGACTGAGGGTAATGTTTGGAACACACACTGATGCTGTATTCACTAGAACTTTGAGAAGAGAGAGCAAGAAGCTAACCTGCAGACGAGTTTCTTAGGTTTCTGTAGAGAGAGGGAGATATACATGCATACATATTTACTTCTGTCTTTACTTCTTTCAAGATAGCTTTTGTTCTCCAAAATGAATCCTCTGACTGTTACTAATGTATGGGACACACCTTGACACTCTAATGGCATAGAAATACTTTTCAGCTCATCCTTGCTATTGTTTCTGGATTGAAAAAATAATTGTGAATATGATTACCTGCTTGGAATCTTTTTTTTTTTTTAATATATACCTATTCTATTATGAAATCCTATAGGAAGGAGTGAACTCAAGAGGAAAAAAAAAAAAAGAAAACAATTTTAATTCCACTTCTAAATTAGATATCTAATCCTGATAGATTCACTCCCTTCCAAACAGAGCTCAACAAATGAAACAGTAAAAAATGCACATAATATTTCTTCTATGCCAAGATTTCATGGCACAATAGTTCTTTGCCTAACCCTGCAATAGCCCCATAGGCATTGCAATTGCTTACTTGTTCTTCTTCTTTGCTTGTGTTTAGTGTTTGCTTTTCTAATGTTACAACATTGGATTGATTTCCCTCCTTAGGTATCAAGAGAAGAAGGCATTTGCTTCAGAGGACAGTACTTTGATGCTTTCCAGGGCTAATGGCCAAAGTTCTCCAAGCACTTTTTTTTTTTTTCTTTTTTTTTTTTTTCCCCATCAGTGATTTATACATTTGTCAATCTTTCCATCTTCATTTACAACTCCGAATTTAGGTTTTAGGTGAACAAGAACCCTGAAACCAGCTGAAGCCATATCAGACATGAAGCCATATCAGACATAGTAAGGACATGTGTCTGTGAGGAAGTAATTCCGAGTGATTCTCTGGTGTCCTTTGGACAGCTTTCCTCTGGTCCTCTGCACTAGGCATCCCCAAGGGATATTTCAAAGCTCTCGGCATGATCTGTCATTCTCTCTTCCACTGGAGTTTCCATTAGAAAAGCGTGACTATTCCTTGCCCATGTGGAAAAGAAGTCCTCCTTGAGTTGTTTCTAACCAAAACCTCTTTCTTGTGTTCTATGGACAGAAACCACTTGGCTAGACAAACTCAATCCTTGCAAATGGAAGGAGTGGAAGTACTTCAGCAGCGTGCTTCGGCTTCTAAGCAGAACTGTAATGTAGGTGGGGACAGAGCAAGAGGACATGGCCAAGCCAGGGTGGACTTGAAAGTGCCGTGTCCGAGCCACAGCAAGAAATCCGTGATTGCCACTTGGAGACGGCTGCTCACCTAGTAGCACAGCAGCTGGAACGCTTCTGGATCCTGCTGATGGATTGCCACGAATCAGGCAGTGACACAAGCTACGAGAACGACGGAAGTGACTGGAAGTGATGCTTCTCCCTGTTCTCCATTGCAATTTGTGAAAGAAAGGAGAAGAGAGGAGAAGAAGAAAGGAGAAGACGGGAGGGAAGGGGAGGGAACGAAGAGAACGGGAGGGAGGGGAGGGAAGGGTAAAAACGAGAAGGGGAGGGGAGGGAAGGGCAGGGGAGGGCAGGGGAGGGCACGGGAGCAGAGTGTAGTGGAGTGTAGGGTAGTGTATGGGAGTGTAGGGGAACTGAGTGAAGGGGAGGGTAGGGGAGCAGAGTGTAGGGGAACTGAGTGAAGGGGAAGGTAGGGGAGGTGTGTCTAGTGGAGTGTAGGGGAGCATAGTGTAGGGGAGTGTAGAGTAGTGTGTGGTAGTGTAGGGTAGTGTAGGGGAGGGGATTGTAGGTGAGGAGAGTGTAGGGGAGCGTAGGGGAGGAGAGTATAGGGGAGTGTAGGAGAGGAGAGTGTAGGGGAGCTTAGGGGGGTGAGTGTAGGGGAGTATAGGGGAGGAGAGAGCCAGGGAAGGAAGTGGAGGGGAGGAGAGGGAAGGGGAAGGAGGGAATATTGCCTTATTTGTTGCCTTTTTACTGTCTTTGTATAGAGCCATGACAGGCAAAATAAACTATGTTGGTGAAAAGGACGTCTTTGTCTGGTGTGATTCCCGCTCCCCCAGTTTAAATTAATCAAGAATAATCTGCTCCTGGTTGAGGTCTTCCCTTACTAGTGCAGTGCTAGGACCTACGTGGTCAATGTGCTGAGGATGTGCAAGAGTCTTAGAAAACAGTCATGTTTTCCTCCCTCCTTGCTTCTTTATGAAATAAACATGATATCATCCAGCACTGGGCTGTTTTTCATGACGGAAATTCACTTCTACCCTGCACAACAAAGCTTATGATATATCCAGACCAGAGCTAAGCCGTCAGCTTGGGCAGCCACTGTCAGGCGTTCGCTTCTGTGCAGTCACCCCTTGGGGAAGCCACTTGCACTGGTTGCTTTCCTCACAAGTTTACCAAGTTTGCGTAAAGCTCCAAAGCTCAGGCCTATGCAGACACAGCCCTGCTGCTCCTTTAACACACAAGAGGGGGCTATTGTTCACAACAGCTTTTCCAGGGCTTCTCTCCGTTTTTTGTTGGAATCTAGTCCATGCTTGCAGATTGGCTTTTTCAATTCAGTGATTAGTGGGTACTGGAAGGTTCAAAAACAACACCTGACAATCTTGTCCATACGTAGGTAAGGAGAGATCTAAGGAAGGAACAGGTTGCAATACCTAAGGCTTATGCATGGCTCAAGCTTCCAGTTGAGCTGTGAAATCCACACCTCAGGTCACTTGAGGTACCAGGAGTCCCTGTAGAACATACAGGGGTCTCCAGCAGTGAGGTTCCCTGAGCAGAGGGCTTCAAGAGCTCCACAGGGAATGAAAAGAAGACTTGTGATATCCATGAGGAATGTGGCTTGCTCTCGGCAATGGAGACAAATTCCTTTCTGATTAATGCTCCACCCTGCTCCACTCCAGGGACAGACGCCTATGGCAACCTGGTCCCAGTACGTCGTACTAGGATGAGGTGGCAGGGACTGTCCCCATTCATTTTCTTTCTCAGGGTGGCCACGCCTCCTCTCTGGCTGAAGGTGGGCTTCATGGCCCGTGTGAAGGGGAGAGGTCTGGGGAAGGACTGAAAAACTTGAGAAATACTCCGAGGATAAATCAAAAGTTGGTTGCACTGAAGTAGATAGGAAGTGCAAATGATAGCCTGGGTAGATTTGCTGCAAAGAATCTGAAGAGTCTGGGTCTGCTTGCCAGAGCACTCATCCCAGTGGCTCATGATTTCTTCTGCACAGTTTTGGTTTGTTGTTCCCCAAGTCAGGACGGAATTTTGGGAATGCTCTTACACTTAGCTCATGAAAGAAAGACATGTTCTTTTGTTCTTTACTAGGTATGATTTTACCTGCTTCGATTGAGGGTACTTAGGCTATGCTATACAACTCTTCTTCACAAGAATAGTCTTC